TTCTCGGGGAAGCTCAAGATGCGAAACGTGGAGCCTTTTTACAAATGACAAGATCCTTTATTTGTGTGTGTGTGTGGTGTGTGTGTTGTTTGTGTGTGCGTGTGTGTGTGTGTGTGTGTGTGTGTGTGTGTGTGTGTGTGTGTGTGTGTGTGTGTGTGTGTGTGTTCTTAGATAAAATAAAAATTGCAAGACTAATTTTCCAACAGGTCTCGCCTTTTACTTTAAAAATATAACTGCATTGTGCGTACTGCGGCTAAAACAGCACCTGAACATGGATGGCTGGTGCCTCTATAAATAAATGATTGATGATGTGAACTGTTTAGGGGTGCACAGATAGCTCATTTGCTTCACGCCAAAGATCGTACATAACAAGATTGTTCACTCAACCAGAAAAGTGTTCGCGGAAGTCCGTGCATTGCTTCAGATGGCGCTGCCATCTTTGTTTTGAAGCTCTCTTTCGTTTCTCCAGAAGAAGAATAGGAATAGCACGGTTTGTTAGTTACACTTTTATTGTTTTTTAACTCAAGTAGGGTAACTCTGTTCGCAAAGTCCGCACTTTTTCGAAGAGGGCGCCACCGAATTTTGAGGACACTTTTTTGGCTCAGAGAGGAATGAACTGTCTTGTCACACACGTTCTTTGAAAGATACGCTCTGGCGTTCGTGAAAAATGCTTGTTGCAATCATAGTTATGTAGTACTAGTACTAGCTGGACCCCCTTTCGATGAAAGGAATGATCGGTGCATTAACATCAACTGAAAGTCATTGGCCTAATATATTTACACTTTAGTACTGAAATGGAGCAATAAATCCTGAGAGATGCAAAAAATTATTATATATTTGACAACTTGGAAACATAATATGTGCTACTTTTCCATTCTAATTTTTTGCATCTCTCAAGATTTTTTGTTCCATTCCAGTAGAGTGTAATTATAGTAGGCCAATGACTTTCAGTTGATGTTAATGCACCGATCATTCCTTTCATCGAAAGGGGACCCAGCTAGTAATATTATCAATCAAGTATTATTAAGTAAAGACTGTCCCTTTTTTTCTTCAAATGGAACAACTTTGCAGGCATTATTATGGCCTGAAGCTTTCCAAAGCATCTACACCTGGTGTTAACGGTTGTGACGCCATACGCAAAACATAGATTCTACAATTATTTGATTTATTTATTTTTTGGTACCCTGCCCAATTCTATCATCTGGCGCTTTTGTGTTTAGTAATAACAACCAACCCAACTGTGCGGCATTTTGGGTTTTGAAATTAGCTGTTAGTCTTAGAGTAAACACACAGGAAATTGTTTTCACATAAATACATGAGTAAATAAGTAGAAAAAATAGGTTTCTTCACTCCTTGATTTTAATATTTTCATGTAGGTGTTTTCACGCCCTCGTTAACACAAATTAGATCTTTTAGAGTACGGCGGGGAGGAGGGGGGGGCTCTTGTTGCTTGGAGGTTTAGGTGTTCGCCTGTCATTCAAAGGTGCCGGGTTCGAATCCAGGTAGCGAAAAATTTCCTTCTCTAAAATCGTCTCCTTTCACCTCCTTTCCTGCTCTCCTGCAAAGTTCTGTCGTCTGCTTTCGTCTCCACTTTCTGCCCTCATCCCCTCCCCTACTTTGGACTCTCCTCTGGGCTCCTGACTCTTTCTGCAGTCTTTCTACTGTTACCCCTTGGCCCCTTCTTACTCATGACCTTATGCAGTTGCCAGCGCCGTAAAACACTCCCTAAATCAGGCACTCGGAAATCGAACTCGGGACAGTGGGTGGTTGGCAGGTGCTCTGGTGTGGTTTTCTCCTTCTTTCCAAACAAAGGTCTATCGTCCTGATCTCTCCTACTTCTTTTTATTTGTTTGTTACTCTCTTGTAACACCTCTAATCTTCGGCACTTATATAATGACCATATTATTATGTCAGCTTGTAACACCTCCAATCTTCGGCACTTATATGACCTTATTGTGTTTCCAAGTGCCGTAAAAACTCTTCCTAAAAAAAAAACTAGCTGGGTTTCCCGTTCGCTGAACGGACTCAAAAGAATCGGTCGTCAAGTCATTGTGGGATCAGTATGTACTCTTTGTGTAAGGAAAAGAACTCAGGACTCTTGAGTGCAATAACGAAGCGTTTAACAACTCCGCTACATTGCAGACGCCACAGTCTACGGAAGGAGAAGAGCAGTTGTACAATGAAAGGAAACACGGAGACGAAGGGGGGGGGGGCAGTCAAGGCGGCCGTTCTTTTATCAAAGGATGCACGCATCGATCACGTGTGTCCTTGATCAATGATAGATTAAGAGGCACTCAGCGAAACAGCCTTCGGTGCTCAGGCAATCCTGGAACTGCGATAAATCACTTGTTGTTTTGTGTTGTTGTTTCGTGTGTTTTTTTGGTTGTTGTTTTTTTCTTCTTCCTCCGACGCGCCTGGAGCAGAAAATAACGCAGGTTGTGTCTCCCATGGGGGCTTTTTCATCCACACTTCCTTAATGTAGGAGTTTATGTTGTCGGTGTTGTTGTTGGTATTAAGTGGCGTCGGTGGCCTAGTGGTTAGGCTACCGGGCTCGTAATCGTGAGGTTGCGGGTTCGGGGACTCGAGCCGCGGGCCCGACGTTTTGTCCTTGAGAAAGGCACTTTACAGGAATTTTCCCCACTTCTCCCAGGTGAAAATGGGTACCCAGCTATAGACAGAGAAAGATCTTGTCAGTTTCTT